GGGATCTACTGCTCCAGCTGGTTCCTTGTAAATCTATGAGGCCTGATGGGATTCATTAAAGAATCCTCAAAGAACTAACTGATGTCATTGCAAACCCTCTCTCTTTCTGAGAGATCTTGGGAATCTGGAGAGGTCCCAGCTGACTGGAAGCTGGCAAATGTTGTCCCAATTTTCAAGCAGGAGGACCCTGAAACTACAGGCCTGCCAGTCTCACTTTAGTACCCAGTAAAATCATAGAAAAGATTATTCTGGGAGGTATTGGAAAACACCTGTAGTACAACAGAGTCATTGGTCACAGCCAGGACAGCTTCATGAGGGGAAAAACCTGACTTTCTTCTACAACAGTGTAACCCACCTAGCTAATCTAGTAAAGCCAGTAGATGTAATCTTTTTGGACTTCATCAAAGCTTTTGATACTCTCACAGTATCCTTCTGGACAAAATATCCAGCACATAGCTGGATAACTATGTTACACAATGGGCGAACAACTGGCTCACAGGTCGGGTACAAAGAATAATAATGAGTGGGGTAACATCAGACTGGTGACTGGTCACTAGTGGGGTTCCACAGGGCTCCATCTTAGGCCGTGTGTTCTTCAACATCTTCATTAATGACTTGGATGCAGGACTCAAAGGGATACTAAGTAAGTTTGCAAATGCCACTACATCAGGAGAAGCTGTTGACTTCCTCGAGGGCAGAGAGGCCCTGCAGAGAGACCTTGACAAATTAGGGATGGGCAATCACCAACCATACAAAGTTTAGCAAGGACAAGTGCTGGATTCTGTACCTGGGATGGGACAACCCGGGATGTATGTACAGACAGTGGAATGAGATGCTGGAGAGCCATGCCGTGGAAAGGGACCTGGGGTCCTGATCGATGGCAAGTTGAATATGAGTCAGCAGTGCCCTGGCAGCCAGGAGGGCCAACCGTATCCTGGGGGGCATCAAGCAAAGCATCGCCAGCTGGTCGAGGGAGGGGATTGTCCCGCTCTGCTCTGCACTGGTGCGGCCTCACCTTGAATATTGTGTGCAGTTTTGGGTACTGCAATGTAGGAAAGATATTAAGCCATTAGAGAGCATTCAAAGGAGGGCAACGAGGATGGTGAAGGGTCTGGAGGGGAAGCCATATGAGGAGTAGCTGAGGCCACTACATTTGTTCAGCCTGGAGGAGACGGAGGGGAGACCTCTTTGTGATCTTCAACATCCTCACGAGGGGAAGCAGAGGGACAATTACCAATCTCTTCACTCTTGTGACCAGTGACAGGATTTGAGGAAATGGCATGAAGCTGAGTCAGGGGAGGTTTAGGTTAGATATCATGAAAAGGTTTTTCACTAGAGGATGGCTGAGCACTGGAACAGTCTCCCCAGGGCAGTGGTTCCAGCACCAAGCCTGACAGAATTCAAGAAGCTTTTGGACAACACTCTCAGGCACATGGTGTGACGCTCGGGGTGTTCTGTGCAGCACCAGGAGTTGGACTCAATGATCCTACCAGGTTAAAAAAAAAACCCAACCACAAAATAAATCAATCTTGTCATGTCTTAAAAATATTCCTTAACGTGTATTAAACTGGATCACACCTCACTTGAAAACAAAGAGGTTGTGGAGTCTCCCTCACTGGAGATATTCAAGAACCATCTGGATGCAATCCTGTACCATGTTCTCTAGGGTGACCTTGCTTGAGCAGGGAGGTTGGACCAGATGCCACACTGTGGTCCCTTCCAACCTTACCCATTCTGTGATTCTGTGAAAGGATCTCTGAATGAAACAAGCAGGAAAGTAGAATATTATAGGTTCTAATAGAAAACAAGGGTTTTTCAAACCTCAGGGTTTCAGGTTATCTCATGGTGTTCAACAGAAAAAAAAATACAGTTTGGGAAGGGTGCAACTTCCTACTAAAGTATTCCTCTGTAGGAGAGGTATAAAGCTTTAATGGTGCTTAGGCTATGTAGCTGGAGCCATTCTGTAATAAATAAGCTTAAAACTCCTCTTAAAAACAGCGAAGTTCATCCACACAAGAGTCCTGGAGCAGGCCTTTCCCCTAACTAAATTACAGAATAGCTTTGACAATGTGGATGTGACTCAAAAGGACGAAGCCTGGCAGCACAAGCAGATGATCATAGTAAAATATTTACTGCAAGGCAGGAAGAATATGGCAGGCAATATTCCTTGTTATTTTGTGCCCAGGTCACAATGGAGCTATGTGCAAATGTTATAATTAAATACTGCTCATTCTCTTGGAAACAACGAAGTGGATTCAAAAACTCTGGGAGAAGAGCAGTATTGAACACAGTCAGTAAATGGATTGATCCTCATGGCTTCAGATTTGTGCTTTATAGATCCTTGGTAGATTCCAAGCTCCTTGAAATAGATCCATAACAGGGCAACCAAGGAAACCGACATCAGCTGTGTAAACTTGTAAGGAAGGCCTTCACACCTTATCTAGAATATATCTAGAAGTGGTGATTAGGAAAAAAAAAAAGAAAACCACTAGACTAATCTAAAAGGACTTGCCAGATCCCAGCACAAATACTGCCCAGCAGTTGTAGTGTACTTCCAGAAGCTTAAAAAAAAAAAAATCTTCACTCTTTTACACTCATCCCCTCTAAGGAGGCATCCATCCTCTTCTCTTACCCTTTAAAATGGCAAAGTTACACGAAAATAAGACCTGGTTATTGTGCTTAATTACTACAATGTGGAAGTGAAAACTATGTTTACTCTTTAATAGTGTTACACTTGGGAAAAGAAAAAGCAGAAGTGAAAAAAAGATGATGAAAGCGTGGATTTACTTGAAGGCAGCCGTGGCTTCTCTTTGTGCTGTTTTGCAGCATGTGTGCTCTGCACTGCGAGAAAGTACCAGTTCTTCCTCATCAGCAAAATGGCTGCAGGTGTCCTATCCTGGGTGTTTTAAAGAAAAATATGTGCTTGAAGCATTGCTAAGTGTATGGTGCTGTGGAGTTTGGTTGCTTTTGGGGTAGTGTGGATTTGTTTTTTTTTTTAGGATATTTGTTACAAAAACTCCATGCAACTCTTGAGTGATGTTAGCAGTGACTGGAAGGCATGCCTGGCACTGAGGGTAATTTCCAGCATTGTCTTCTGCTGGAGAAGGGCATTGCAGGGTGGGTGCTCCCAGGTGGGCACTGCAGCCTTGGGGTTGGGTGGGACCCCAAGGTGCAGTGGTAGGCCTGGCTGGCAGTTGTGGAAAGCTGCTGGGCAGGGGATAGAGTTTGTCCCTGGGAGACCATGGAAGCTGTGCTCAGGAGAGGCCTGTGTTCTGCCAGGATGAATTTCTCTGTGGTTAAACACAGTGTAAAAATGGGAAGGGGAGAGAAGGGACTTTGGGGAAATCTTTTGGACAAGAAGGTCCAGGCCTATGGGGGCAGAGCCCAGGCCCCTGGGAGCACAGTGAGGTGAAGGCTACCCTTCACAGTCACAGAATCACAGAATCAATCAGGTTGGAAAAGACCTCTCAGATCATTGAGTCCAACCTGTTACTGAACACCACCATGTCAGCTAGACTGTGCCACTCAGTGCCACGTCCACTCTTTCCTTAAACATGCCTAGGGACTCCACCACCTCCCTGGCCAGCCCATTGCAGTGTATAATTACCCCTTCTGTGAAGAAATTTTTCCTCATGTCCAACCAGAACCTCCCCTGGTGCAGCTTAAGACTATGTCTTCTCGTCCTGTTGCTGGTTGCCTGGGAGAAGAGGTGGACTCCCACTTGGCTACACTCTCCTTTCAGGCAGTTGTAGACAGTGAGAAGGTCACTCCTGAGCCTCCTCTTCAGCCCACCCGCGTGCGGTGGGATGTGACAGCCGGCGGGGTGTCAGGGTGCCGGTTCCACAGCAGCGGGGTGGTGTGCGGGGGGCAGGAGGCCGGTGCCGCGGTGCCTGACAGCCGCGCCGGCGGTCCCGGGCGCGGGGCGGGGCGGGGCCGGGCCGTGTTTACATCCGTGCCCGCCGCACGCTGCCGCCGCTCCGCGCGCTCCCATTGGCGGCCCCGCCGCGGCCCCGCCCCGGGGCGGGC